TGTATATCTACTTATCTAGTTTCAGATAGTGAAATTTGGACTGCTTTTGATTTGGTTCACTGATGTTCGGGGCCCTTCACCCTTTGTTTCTATTAGATGGCTATCATAATTTTATCAATTTTATTGATCACTATTCAAGATGCACTTCGATATACTTGTTGAAAACTGTACTGAAGTACCATGGACAACAATGCTATTCCATAAATTTATTGAGACAGTTTAGAAAAAGAATAAAGTAGTTTTGCTTTGACAACTCAACTGAATATTTTCAAAGTTCCTTGAATATGTTCATAGGAGGTGTGCTACATCAATCTTCCTGTGCTCATACTCAACAAAATGGGGTTATTTAGAGGATGAATAGACATCTTTTGGAAATTATTAGGGCCTTGTTATTTCAGCACAAGGTGCTTAGGAAATATTGGTCTTAGGTGGTCCTTTTTTTTATGAATGATAATAGATTTATTAATTCAGAAGCTGATTTAGAGTGAATTCATACAACATCCCAGGGAGAGGCGTGAGCTGCAGCCCCTCCTTGAATCTTACAACTTCATATTTGATAAAGAGGATACCATCTAGGGTATTAGGTATGAAAACTCCTTTCTCTGTCCTGTGTCCTACTCAAGATGACTTGCCTATGCCTCCCAAGGTCTTTGAGTGTGTCTTCTATATTCACGTCAAGGATCTAAAGCAGACTAAGTTGGATCCTAAAGCTATATGTGGGATATTTCTTGGTTACCCTCCTACACAAAATGGTTACAAGTGTTGTGATCATGTTTCTAGATGAAAATTTGTAACCGAAGACGTTGTCTTCTTTGAGTCTCAATCAAGGATCAAAATCCGCAACGTATCGGCCAATGCATATCATAACAGTGGGTCATCATACATGAAATAATAGGTGTTTTGAGGTTTGACCTATTTCAGGGGTAGATATGCCTTATATCATGCCCCCTGAATAAGTTTCAAAAAAATACTAAAAAAAATATAAAGCGCCCTGATACAAAGTTTGATACACCCATCCTACATATTAGACTGTATCGATATTTAGAACCTTGGTCTCAATCCGTTTTTCAACCTTCCAAGAATTCTCCTCAGTGTGAGACTAGTTGGGTAGAAAGGAATTCTTCTTCACTTTTTGTGACTTTTCCTATTTCTAGTCCTTCATCTTCTTCCCTTGAACAACAAAATGAGCTGAGATCTTTACATAGAAAAGGGAAAATGAACTGTCTAGCTTGTGATGGCAACTAACTAGACTCCAACCAATTTGATCTAGTAGATCCAAGTAAACCTATTTTTGATGTTCCTCCTACTTTAGACTTGGACCTTCCTATTGCTCTTCATAAACCTATTTATTCTTATGCTATTGCATATCCCATTCTTGTTTTTTTTTTGATGAGTATGTTTCTTATTCTTGTTTGTCTCCTTGTTGTTATTCCGTTGTTTCTACTATTTCTTCTGTCCATGTTTTAGGTATTTTGTAGTTATAAGTGATCCTAAATGGAGAGAGGCAATGAATAAAGAAATGAGGGCTTTAGTGAAGGTCAAAACTTGGGAATTAGTGGATCTACCAGAGGGAAAGAGCACTGTGGGATTAAATGGATATTTACTGTAAGGCAGATGGTTCAATGGAAAGATATAAAGGCTGTTGGTAGCAAAAAGGGTTTACCTAGAAGGAAAGGATTGATATCAAGGAGGTGTTTGCCCTAGTTGCAAAGCTAAACAACATACATGTTCTGTTGTCCTTGGCGACAAACTACTCTTGGAAACCACATCAATTAGATGCAAAGAATGCATTCCTGAATGAGGACTTCCATGAAGAAGTGTTTATGAATCCTACACCTAGCTATGATTTTCAAGGGAAGGTGCATAGATTAAAGAAGGCTTTGAATGGGCCGAAACAATCTCATCATGCCTAGTTTATGAGGAAGCGGTATTGATCATACCTTGTTTATGAGGAAGCAGGGTGATAAACGTGCAGCTCTCATAGTGTATATACAGATGATATGGTCATCACTGGGAATGATCCAAAAAGAGATAATGGGGCTGAAGAATTTGTTAGTGTATAAATTTGAACAAGAATTTGTGTCATCTGAGGTACTTCTTTGGAATTGAAGTTGCAAGATCTAACGAAGGTATATACATATGCTGGATGAAGTATGTCCTAGATCTACTAAGGGAGTAGGCCAGCTAATACTCCAATGGAACAGAATCATGGTTTATAGACAAGGAATGATACCAAAGGTTGGTGGAATAACTAATCTGTTTATCACTTACCAGGCCTGATATAGCTTATGTAGCACATGTGGTAGCTCAGTTTTATGCATGCTCGCAATGTTCCTCATATGAAGGCTGTTCAGAGGATTCTCAGATATCTAAAGACTTGTCTAGGAAAGGGAATCTTGTTCAAGAACCATATCAAGTTTGAGTTTGAGGCATTCACTAATGCTGATTGGGTAGGTTCCATAGGAGATAATATATATCGAGCTATTACATCATTGTTTGGGAAACTTAGTTACTTGGAGAAGTAAGAAGCATAGTGTAGAAGTTGAGTATAGGACAGTGGCCAATGGTGTTGCAAAATTGTTGTGGCTCTGGATTCTACTTATTGATTTCGGAATCAAGATTGATGCAGCTAACATATATATATATATTATATATATATATTTATTTATTTATTTATGAATATGTAGCTAACATATGTTCTTACTAAAGGACTTCCTTCGGTGAAATTTTATGGACTACTTGGCAAGTTGAGCACAATAGACTCTTATGGCTAACTGGATACACTCTTCTGCCGCCCAACAACTATCTCTTTTCTCTCTATTTCTCTCTTATATGCTCTAAAACTCCATTGCAGTTCTACAAACAGAGATGTCTGGTGGGAAAGATAGAAGGGGATCTATATTTTCATTAGTTGAGATAAAGGTTCAAAATATCGATACAAGATGATATGCTAGTTGGGGCTAGACCTGTTCATGGGCCAGGTAGCCTGACGGGCCGGCCCGATCTAAGTCGGGCTTGGACAGGATTTCAGGCCTGCGGGCTCGGGCCTAAAATATCAAGCCCGGCCATTTTTGGGGCCAGGCTCAGGCTTTCTCTAAAAAGCCTGGCTCGAGCCCGAGCCTAACTTGATAATGTATTATATGATAAAAATATATTTTATATAATAAAAAATATATATATAATATATTTTTTCTTTATTTTTCATCTCTTTTTTCAAGTAATAGTGAGATCTTTCGTTATTTTTTTAGGTTTTGAGTTATTTTAATATAAACAAAATAGTTTAATTGAATAAAAAAGGAAAAAAAATCTTTTTTTACAAATTTCTGGCCGGGCTCGGGCTTGGGCCTGAGCATATTCTGTTAATGTAGAGGCAAAGCCTGGCAACCATGCTCGTGAACAGGTCTAGTTGGGGCATATCGGCTTGTATCTTTGGTTGCTTTATCTTTTTTAGTTTTTTTTTTTTTTCAATCTGGTTCAGAGGGGTCGGTTTAAGGCCTGTCTACCCCTTGAACCATGTCACACCTCGAAACACCCCTTGTAGAGTTGTATTGGTGGCCTCTCGATACGGCACGTATCGGACGATACAGCCCGATACACATGAAACTTTGATCCTTGGTTGAGATCAGTCAAAGCTAACTGGGGGTGGGGGGTCCTCGTCCTAGTTGAGGTGAGAAGACTTGTGTGGGGCACTGCCCTTTTGCTTGCCGTCAGAGCAGGAAGTCTGTTGAGTGCTTAGGGAGTGATACTAGGGATTGTAGTTCAAAGGTTTTAAACTATGGATAGGCTGATGGTACATTGTTGTTAGGTTTTCAATGGAGTGATGAACGGATACATATTGGACTAGGGTTTTGGGTTTGCCTTTGTAGTGCATCAGTTCTTAGGATGACTGTTTCAGGAGATATGGTGGAAAGGGTCTGTACTGCCACACTTAGCATTGTTTCAGGAGGCCGATGTATGTTGTAGTCATCTGGCTAGAGTTTCTGCCAGGGCATGGTTATCTGATGGCAGCACCAGATGCTAAAGTTGTGAAGCTGGTTGTTCTGTCTGGACCACTGGCAATGGCAAAGATAGGGTATTAACTACACTATTCACTCGCAATTTTATGTCCCATGGCACAGCTAGTTGAAGATCCTTGATTCAGTGGAGAGGAGGCACTTGTAACTCAAAACGAGGTTGATTTTGATGTTGTAGAGCCCCAATAATGGGAGCTTTGTCAAGGAGCATGTTGACTTGTGCAGCTCTCAGATGGTGCGAACGAATTCTACAAGATTGGGTACTGTTCTCCTGGATTTTTACTCTAGGGATTCTAGACTGTTTGTTGGAGAGATCTGGTGGTTTCTCAACTAGATCCTGGTACAAATCTCTCCTTGGTCCATGCCCGAATATTTCCTGTTCCCTAGTTCTAGGGATGCAAACAGATTGGGTTGAATTGAAATGAATCTTATCGCATTGGATTTATATCAGATTCAGATCTAATTTGGATTGCAATCTGATATTGAATTAGCATTAACAAATAAATTAAAACTGATCAAAATTTTATATATTATTAATAAAATAATCTAAAGATGAATTTGATATTGTATATCATGGACAAAATATGTTGAAAATAAATTTTGTAAAACTTGAACCAACGACTCTTTAGTATTAAAACATCCAGGCCAACTTTACTAAATACATAGAATATAAATTTTTAGTATATTATATATAAGAATATGCATTTAAATTGAATCAAAACAGATTATATTGGATCAGATAGGGATGGATTGATATTTGATCCACCCTTAGCTGGATTGTTTTCAGATTGAAATTCAGAGAAGCACCAGTTGCAGCCCTTTTAGGTTCCACCTTGTCCACAAAGGGGTTCTCTATACATGGGCTTGCATGCTTTTCTAGCTTTTCAAGGTCAACAATTTGGCAACCTCGTATCTGTTTCTATTAGCAAAAATATTGTTATTCAAGTTCACCAAATTTACTTGGTTTTCCTTGATACTTAATTGCAGTTCCTTGAAGAAGAAATTCAAAGATAAGATGTCTGAGTTTCAGGTATTGCTTTTCTTCTAGCTCTCTTCCCTTTGACCTGGGTTTCTTTAATTCTATGTCCTTTTGTTATGATTCTCTTTTCTAAATTCCTTAAAAAATTTCCAGACTCTACGGGAATCCATCCATCAAGAGTATCGGGATGTTATTGAGAGAAGGGTATTTACAGGTTTTTAGCTTCTCCATGACCTTGACTCGAAAAGTGCATTTTCTGTATATGCAATTACGTTTACCATCATTATGGATCTGATACTTGTTTTTTCCTTGGTTTTTGTGATGATTAGTAACTGGTACAAGAGCTGATGAAGAGGTGAGTTTATATTTCCTTCTTAGAATTCCTCATGGAATCCTGTATTTCTGTGAACTGTAAAGTTTTGTTGTAATTGTTATGTATTATACAGACAATTGACCGGTTAATGGAGTCCGGAGACAGTGAGCAAATATTTCAGAAAGCAATTCGGGAACAAGGCAGAGGCCAGGTTTGTCCTCCCCCCTACCCTTCCTGTTTTCCTCCCTTTTTTTAGGTTTAATTGGATTCAATCTTGTTGTAGTCCAATTTGCCCTAGGATTAAGTGTTTGAATGAGGAAGTGCAACTGCCAAGAGAGAAGCACTAACAGAATAGTCTATGGGTTGTCATATTCCCCCATCTGTCATTGTTCCCAACTATACAAACAGATAAAAATTTATGAGGTGGGTAAACTGAAAATTTGCCTTTGGTATACACCACTACTCAAAATCCTCTTCTCTAAAGTTTCAAGTTGGAGCTAATGCAATACCCAAGAAGGAACATAATGGAAAATACACAAAATGGAGTATGGTTATACAATACACCACTATTTAGGATCTTATCTACAGTTTTGAGGCAGGGCTTTCAATATCATTATGAGAACTGAATTATTTTCAAGTTAGGTAGATTTTGGAAGTCCAAAGTCTGATGCATCTATGTCTAATTAGATCTCGTTGTCATATCTGAACAGTTCATGGCTGCAGTTTGATTAAACTAGAGGTGCAACTTGGATGGGCACAGGTTGAGCTTCTGCTAAATTATGAATGGGCCTGGTCTGAGGGCATGGGCCTGAGTTGGGTACCTGAGTTGCATGCTTAGATTAAACTGTCATGTTGGATTTGTTAATCGAAGTGACCATTGTAATTTCTTATATTTAAACGTGGGTATGAAGGATGTCCTTGCCATTATGGAAGCATTAAAATGTTGAGAGTGAGGAAACAGTTCATGTGCCACCAATAATTAGACCAAAGATTTTAGATATAAGTGGACCTTTTAAATGATTTGGATTTTCAAATGCTACTGACTTAAGTTTGCTTCTTTCTCTTCAAGAATCTACTACTGACTTAAGTTTGCTTCTTTCTCTTCAAGAATCTAAGAAAACCAGATTGCAAAATTTCCATTTTTATTTGACACTGACTTCGTTGTGAGACATAATGTTGTAGGGTACGGCCTTTACTGTTTATGTTTTGTTTTATTTTCTCTTTAGGTTAAATGGGCCTAGGTCTATATTGTAATTTTAAATCTGTTTTTCTGCCTACTAATGAGGAGAAAACTTGTCTCTTCATGTACTTTATTTTAATATCTCTATACATATCAATTTAGGGCTGGTAAGAAATTATAGCCACCCATTTCCTTTCAACCTCTTTTCTCTCCTAACGTAGAACTAACACCTTGGTATCAGAGTACCTGAAGCTTTATTAGAGTTTGCTTGTTTCACTTTTTTGTCCTTCTTTTCATCTCTTTTTCTTATTTCATTACTGTTTCTTCAAACCCTAGTTCTGGTTTACACTTTCCAGATTGTTCTCTCCATTTTTTAGGGTTCTACCTTTTAGGGCAGTTTCTGCAGTGAGTAGTCAATCAACTACTAGAGAGACCTATTTTTCTTGCAGGTGTGCAAGTCCAATTGACTAGCAAGTCTATTAACATTGCTGTTCAGGTGGTACTTTGGTGCTGGGCAGAAAGAGGGCTGCTGTCGAGTGACTAGCAAGTGACATGAAGGATGTTGATATCCAATCAAGTTTTGACGCTAGTGGTTGCAGCCCAGCTATTTTCTGAATTGTTTCATCGGTTTTCGTTGTCCAAGTGCTCCTTCCTAGTACTTTGAGGCTGTTGCTAATCCTAAATGGAGGGAAGCAATGAATGGAAAATGACTGCTTTATTTAAAGCAAACACTTGGGAGTTGGTGAATGTACCAGAGGGGAAGAACATAGTTGGGTGCAAATGATTGTATTCTGTTAAGCTCAAGGCAAGTGAATGTTGAGAGATATAAACCTAGGCTGGTTGCAAAGGG